AAACCCAAAGCCCTAAACCCCAAACTGAAGGGCTCAAGGCCTAGGGCCCGAGGCCCAATCCGTGAGACTCAGGCTTTGGACGCAGGCCACGCGGCCAAGAAGTTCAAGCAACCCCAGGCCCAACGATGATTGCCTCGGGTTGAAGGGTTTAGGGTTTAGGGTTTAGGGTTTAGGGTTTAGGGTTGAGGGTTGAGGGTTTAGGGTTTAGGAGTTTAGCGTTTTAGGGTTTCAGGCTTTAGGGTTCAGGTCAGGCTTTTTAGGACCCTGGGCCGGGCTTCGGGGCCTTGGCTTTAAGAAGGCTCGGACTGGATCTTAGGGCTTTAGGGGTTTAGGGGTTAAGGGCTTTAGGGTTGAGGTTTTAGGGTTTTAGGGTTTTAGGGTTTTAGGGTTGGGGGCTTTAGGGTTTGGGGCTTTAGGGTTTTAGGGTTTAGGGCTTTAGGGTTTAGGGCTTTAGGGTTTTAGGGTTTTAGGGTTTTAGGGCTTGGGGTTTAGGGTTTTGGGGTTTTTAGGGCTACGCCACGCCGCAGCAGGCACTGCAGTTTAGGGCCGTTTTGAAGGTTTTGATGGGTGGATAAAAGCGGGTTAGAAGTGCCCTTACTATGGGCCTAGAGTTATAGTTACCCTACTTATAGCCCGACTGATAACTACCCATGAACCTCCAAGTACACTAACCCTAAACCCTAAACCCTAATCCCTGAGTCCCAAAAGCCATCAGCTACTCCTGCCCAAGAGGCTTGGGAAAGAACTGCTCGGCCTCCTGCGCTGCGGTGCAACCGAGTTGGGATTAGGGCGGCTACAAATTAGGGCTGAGGGTTTAGGGTTTACGGTTTAGGGTTAATCGTGATCAAGATTTGACCTAAAGTATTGCACGACACGGCTGCACCGGTGGTCTGGTTTCTCAAAAGCATCCTCCACTTACGCCTTAAACTCCTCTGGCCTCAACCGTGGGCATGAAAAAGGTGGACTGCTTCCCCCCTTCGACGCTCCGATAGATTCAGAAATGAACGGTATAGGTCGAGTTCTAGCATTCTGGCAAGGCTCAGGGCTGTAGGCGCCTATGGTAGCAAAAAAAGCACCGGAAGCTGTTTTCACGGGGTCTGACTATGATTGCAGGTGCTGCTGCGGCTGCGGCTGCGGCTGCGGCTGCGGCTGCGGCTGCGGCTGCGGCTGCAGCTGCGGCT